TCCTGCCATCCCCTAGTTCTGTCTTGGGTAGTGGGTGAACTGATCCTTAGCTATCATTTTCTCTAGAATTAGTTCAGCAGTGTCAGAGAAGTCTGACATTGGCCTTACTTCCTCTCCAGGTTCTTAAAAAGATTGTACGTTGGTGAAGAGACTCTACTTCCCTCCAACAGGGAAATGTGGTCTGAACTCTTTCTTCAGGGGGCTCTTGGATACATACTCTATTTTCCTAAGTCTGTCAGGTGCTACCTTTATCCATTCAAAAGTATTCATCATGCACCTGTTGTATGCCCTGTGGTAGGTTGCATGTCAGTTAAATAAAAGTATCCCCACTTGAAAGGAATTCTAAGCAAAATGTTTAGGGGAAGACGATGTCCAGTGAGGCTCAGAGTGACTGGACTCATCCCATAAATCAGAGATTACAGACTGGGTGCAGTTTTATTTTGTTTGACTGGCAAGGTATCATAATTTTTTAAAAACTTGAATGCCCTTTGTTAGAGCATATCATCTCTAGTTCACCAAAAGTCTACCATTCAACACTGATATACGGCATGCCAAATACACACAGTGACGTTGGCTGCCTGCCCCTGCGGGCATTTGAGTGTGTCGCCACTGCCCGGCATCCTAGTAGTGGGAAGCCTGGTTGTTGGATCTTGAAATTTCCAAGTCCCCCAAAAGTGCCCAGATGGATAATTGGATCCACTATGTTCTCTCTTCTTCCATCTGGGAAGACTTATCCACTTGGGGTAATATATGTTGACATAGAAAAATAATTTTCTATTTATCTCTGGTAAAAATCAATGAAAAAAATGAATACATTTTATTCTAATACTAAATATATAAAAATAATTTTAAAAATCAGTTATTAGTCAATTCATCATATTCCATGTTATGAGTATACTAGGAATTCATAGTATAGCATCTTTTCTTTATATTCTTATTTAATCTATGACTTTTAACCATGAAATCAAGATGGGCAATTGCAGTTTTATTTATAAGCCTACTAAAAAACTGTAGACAAAAAAAACATTTTAAGTCTTAGAATTATTTCTAGAAACCCTACTGTAAGACAAGAATATAAAAATACATGTTGAATATATATAACACATAAACAAATTTGTATATGTTCATACAATAAAATTATTACCTGCTATCTCTGAAAACAATAAACATGAGTTCAGGGGTCAGTTTAATGTTAATGAAGAACACGTGGTTGTTTTTTTTTTTCTTTTTGAGACAGAGTCTCACTCTCTCTTGCCTGGGGCAAGTCAGCCTAGCTCACAGCAACCTCAAACTCCTGGGCTCAAGTGATCCTCCTGCCTCAGCCTCCCAGGTAGCTGGGACTACAGGCACACGCCACCATGCCCGGCTAATTTTTTTTCTATTTTTAGTTGTTTGGCCAATTTCTTTCTATTTTTAGTAGAGACAGGGTCTCGCTCCTGCTCAGGCTGGTCTCGAACTCTTGAGCTCAGAACGATCCACCCACCTCGGCCTCCCAGAGTGCTAGGATTACAGGCGTGAGCCACCGCGCCCGGCCAGTACACATGGTTCTTGACATTCATTTTTACCTGCGGTTTCCATGATTTAAGGACTTAAAAGAGTGAGATAAAGCACAAGGTGTCTTAGCCAGTGGTCCCCAACCTTTTTGGCACCCGGAACCAGTTTCATGGAAGACAATTTTTCAGCGGGACGCCGTGGTGTGCTGTAAATATAGATGAAACTTTACTCACTCACCCCACTGCTCACCTACTGCTGTGCAGCCCACCCTGCTTTTCCTAAGTTTTTCAGCGGGGAAGGGATAGTAGAGCTCTGCAGCCTGGTCCCTCATAGGCCTCAGACCAGTGCTGGTCCACAGCGACCCAAGGGTTGGGGACTGCAGTCTTAGACAACAAATGAGAACCTTTTTTTTTTTTTTTTTTTCAAATGAGACCCTTTAATTTCTCTAATTTTGAAAACTAAAGATGTCAGGAACATAGTTGCATGGCTAGTTAGCTAGAGATACACAGCCACTGTTTCTACCCCTAAATGAATCTAATGTACATATCTTGTACTTCATTGTAAGTGTCAGACCATATTTGTAAAACAAATTAATTGGCCTTGGCATTTTTATGTTAGTGATCCTGTATGTGTATAATTATACATTTTCAGCAGAAAAAAAATTGCCCACATTTAATGTCACAACATGACTGTCAGTTAAAACTAACAATTTTAAAATAAAACCAAACACAACAAAAATACACACGCAAAAAACTATTTCACACTAGTAAAAAAACATGATATTAAATATTTTTAGACTATAAAATCCACTGGGCAAAACAGGAAATGAGTCCATGATGTAGTATTTACCTCTTATATTATGTGAAAGTTAATTTTAACCCATTTATCAAAAGTTCAATCTGATTTAAGAATAACCTATGTGTTAAGAAATAGTTTCAGTTTGTGTTAAAAGTATTGTACATCATAAAACATGTCGGATGGGAGAGTAGAAATCAGGTAATTACAATGGGTTGTTAAAATATAAGTTTCAGCAGGGAACCCATAATGATAAATATTGGATACTAAAGTGAGGACCAATGACAAATTTTCAGAAGAAATATTTGAAATCTAGTTTTGACTTTTAAACTTCTCGCCTACATTAAGGGTATAAAAGAATGCAGTTGTTGGAGATTAAAGAGAAAGATTTTTATCAAAGAGCATTTCTCTGCAGAAAATTGTGCTCTGAGTCCTGCTGCATCCAGTTGCTTTTCCCTTCCTCCCAAGTCAAGAGAAAAAGGACTCAAGGGACTGTGTAATGACTTAATAGATTTGGTTTCTCCTGCAGATCTTGGTGGGCTGGGTGGAGGTGGGGCTGAACAGGCAGCCACTCTGTGGAAGTGAAGGGGAGGTGGTAGCAGTTGTCATTTCGCACGGCCTCCCAGCTTTTCTCATGTTTCCTGAAGACCAGGTTGGGCCCTGGACAGCAAAGAGTGGGAATGAGATTGATTCAGCTCCTATTCAGTAGGAAGGTCTGGAGAGAATATGAGACCTCGGCCGACTAAAGCTGGATTCCAGATGCTACAGAAGGAGCGTATGCAGGGCTGGCTTCACGGGCATGTAACCTGTGCAGTTGCAGACGCCTGCACTCAGCAGGGCTCCATGACTGGTTAAGTGCCATGCTCTGGCCATCTTGAAATTCATAATTATTTTTGAACAAAGAGCCCCACATTTTCATTTTGCACTGAGTCATGCAGATTATGTAGCCTGCCCTAAATTTATGCCCTATATCAAGGAAGCTGTAGATGAAGGGGCCCCTGCAGTGTGAGGCAGGGTGGTCCTCTAAAGAAGTCACCAGCCACTTCATGGGAAAAGAGAAGGTTTTAAACATTCACCCCACTCAGTAAAGCTAGCTGACCAACTGAACCAGGCAAGTAGAGCATTCCTGCTCTTGTCACCTCCCCTTTTTCATCACTTCCAGTCCCTTCAAACCCAGAAGGGACTAAAACAGCTTAGAAAGGGGGACAAGGTTTTGAAAGGTTGCCAGGAAAGGGAAGCTACCATCCCACTGAATGGAGATGGACATTCTAATAACCAATTTGAGACTGTTTTTATGACTTAAAGTGACTATAGGACTTGGGATTTTTATTAAAGTGATTAGGAAAACCATGCAGCCATCCAAGTTTTCATCCAGAGTTAGGGGGAAAACTATTACATTGAATAAATATTAAAGTAAACATGAACAAAATGAAACTGCTTTCCACATTGCATCTCTCAAGTGATACTTGCTCAGTATATGGATTACATAATTGAATTCAAAGAATCTGAAAACAGCAAATGCTTTTAACTCATAAACCTTGTTAGCTTTTAAGTTTAAAGTGATCTTTTGAAAGCTAGCTTTAAATTTAATGGTGAAGCTGGACTTTTTGTAAATTTTATTTTTTAATTTAATTTAGTAATGGGAAAAGAAATGATAGATTTTCCCATTTGTTATAGCACTTGTGTTTATCTAGTTGGTTTGCTAACAATGGCCTAAAAATGGAAAAGTTTGCTTGTTCAATGCAGTTGCCTTTAAAGTGAGGAACTGTATGTAATATTGCCTTAGAAAAACGTGTTTAACATTTTGATAATTAAGCTTGACTTACCATAATTTGGTTTTTCCACTGGCAGTGACATAGAACAATTTTTTTTCTAGAGGCCACTCCAAAATGACTTGAGTTAGGAAAATGTTGCTAGTTTTCAATATATTTCTACTGCTGTTTTCCATTTTATGCAGAGACCGTGGTAGGTTAATTATAGAAAATTGCATTTGGTGCTCATTACATGGGTGTGAAATTAACTTTGTCACTGATGGACTGACATTTAGAGTATAATTAGGTTGCATTCTTTCCAGGGATTCTGTGAACTACATTTTAATGCCCTTCAATGATGAGGAGATCGTTGTACTTTTTAAAATTTTCCGAAGGCTTTTATAGTTGGTCAGGCTTTATAAAATATGAATATCGTGATTTTTTATTTTTATGTAAACATGTCACAAAGTATTTTCTTCTTTAGCAAATACCCTTATAATTTTTTTCTGGCTATAAAAAATGTATGGGAGATTTTTTTTATCATTCAACCTGATAATTATTATTTGAAATATAAATTCTATTAATACAGAGATAATTTTGTTCATTTTTGAACTTTTGCTAAAAGTTATTTTAATCGTCAGTATTTCTGATTTTACTTTAAATCAGAAAAGACTACACCTTAAATTTACATCCTTGGAGTATGGCATCATGGGAAAAACTACATTTGCATCATTTACAATGTAAAAGACAACATTCTTGAAGAAAATTTGAAAGCAGACTGAATGGCATGCCAGCTAGTCAGAGAATGGGGGTCACATTCGCACCTCACCACCTGACGTTGTCAGCCATCACCCACAGCAGGTTGTGAATGCTATTTGGAAAAGTAATCACAAAACCTTCTTATAAATATCTGTGTATTTTCATTTCTTTCTTCAATACATTTCTCTAATTTTGTTATAGGCTCGCAGGAAGGAAGTATTTATCCAGGAACGGTATGGGAGATTTAATCTAAACGACCCATTCTTGGCACTCCAGAGAGACTATGAAGCAGGTGCCGGTGACAAAGAGAAGAAGCCAGTTTGCACCAACCCCCTCTCCATCCTTGAAGCAGTCATGGCCCACTGCAGAAAAATGCAAGAAAGGATGTCCACACAGCTGGCTGCCGCTGAGAGCAGACAAAAGAAGGTATTGAGGCTTTCAAACAGTTATTTTCCCCATAACACAGTGTCACATGAAGAAACCATCTCTGAGGTTGTTGTTTGTTCTTAAATATTATATTTCCAGGAAGGATTGCAATAAATACTTAGAAGTGCAAGATGCTGGCAGATTCTGGTGTCCCTTTTAAAATGTAACTTAAAGTGTTTAAAATGTAACTCAACATTAAGCCGTAAAGGAAGCATGACAGAGAAATTGTGTTCCCATAATAGTTACTTCGTTACTTTCTTTAAAATATCGATATTGATTTTGGACTCCGTTCCATAAGACATTCTTGGCTGCTAGGTGGGTAATCTGGCAATGCAGCCAGAATTCTCTGATTATGTGATGGCCTCTCCAACTTATTTTATCCATCTCTGTCTAAAATATTTCTTTGCAATTAGAAATGATTTTGTTTTTTATTATTTCTTTGGAAAATAGCATGAGGAGAATAGAATGAAGGTTTGCATGGTATATCCAGTCTCACAACGTGTCATCTGAAAGTCCTGGTTAGTGTCAAACTCACCTCTGGGATGTGATGGCCGTGTCAGCTGCAGACATCTAGCCTCTTGCTCACATGTGTTTCATTTAAACCGAGCTGCTTCCCCCCTCCTACATCCCCCACCGACACACACAGATTTCCTGCCCTTGAGTACATGCTTCAAAGAGTACTAAGCTTGATAAAAACTTACTGCAATCAGCCATAAGGAAATAGAAGTTTAAAATTTGTCCTATCAATATTCTGCCAAGACTGTTGATTCCCTTTATTAAAAAAGAGAGTGAGGAAGTCAGAGAAGCTAATCCTGTCTGGTATGATTAGAATTAAAACTATAATAATATGTTCTCCCCCACCATTATTAAAGTATGAATTAAAATGTTTCTTTTGATTTTTTTTTTTTTTTTTTTTTTTTTGAGACAGGATCTCACTCCTTCACCCAGGCTAGAGTATAGTGGTGAGATCATAGCTCACTGCAGCCGCTGAACACCTGGCCTCAAGCAGTCCCCCTACCTCAGCTTCCTGGATAGCTGGCATTACAGGCACATACTACCATGCCTGGCTAATTTTTAAAATTTTTGTAGAGATGGGTCTTGCTATGTTGCCAAGGCTGGCCTTGATTTCCTGGGTTCAAGTGACCCTCCTGCCTTGGCCTCCCAAAGTGCTGGGATTGCAGGCATGAGCCACCACTTCCAGCCTTCAGAGAATACTTGATATCTCACATTTAACACTTGATTGACAATTAACCTTAATGCACTATCGTATAAATATTTATGATATTGTCGGTTAGTATGTGTGTCTTTTCCCTGTAATTATATCTTTACATTAACATATGAATGCCATTGTTCTGGTATAGGTGTTGAATACATTTTCCTCAGTATATTACATGGCAGAAAACTAAAGCACTGAGTAAAATAGGAAGAATAGAAGGGCTTCCATGGATGTGAGGCAAAATCAGTTTTACTCCGGACTTTGCAAACCCTATACAAAGCCCTGCAGACAACCACTGAAGTCTCTGGAGGTTTTCAAAACTCCCCACAAACCACATAAGCAAGAGCCAATGTATTTCAGCTGATGTCACTGAAACTCATTTGTATTTCTTGGATGAGCTACATTTCAATTATGTTCTTAACGTGTCAAATGAGCTATTTCATAATAAATTATTTATGCTGGATTTTATGCTGCATTATCAAAAATCAAGAAAATATTTTGATTTCATTTAATATATAAAAAATGCATACTTTCCTAAATTTTACTTTATGCATTCATTTTACTTATTTCTTTTTTAGGGGAAAAAGGAACATTTCTAGTTTAATCAAAGATTTTATTATCTAGCTGCTTTTTTTTTAAATCAACTTACATCCTGTTTGTTTCTGAATGACTGGGTCATTTCCAACATGGCTGGTTGTGAAAGGAAATTGTTTCTGTCCTATGGGTCCTGAGAGGCTAATATAAAATGAGCCAGTGGTCCGTCTCCCATGCATAACAGGGATACAGGAGTCCTTTATGGCCAGATTCATCGGCTGTGTGGTTTCAGTGAAGAGTCACTCTGACAGGGAGTGCTACCTTTTGTTCTTAAAGAATATTCTATTCCAGAAGATCATAGCGTGTGAGAATTACTGTTTCATACTCTTACCCTGTGGCTTAATTTATAAAGAAAATATCATATTAGGTGATAAAAGTAGAAACACCAAAGTCATCTTTTTAACAGAATTACCTGTTACCCTTAGCTCTGAAAGTAAATATTTTAACCAAATGTCTTCCATTCCCTTGCTTGCATATAGAGTAAATTGCAGCTTTAGAAATCTAAAAGCAGTAAGGGAAAAAAAATCCATTATTTTAAATGGGTCCAGCTCTTTAAATCACTGCCAGAGTGAAAGTCTGGGAAAGCAAAGGCCCCATTATCTACAATTGAGGTATTTATTATCTGACGCTGGGCATATCTCTTTGGTAATTCTAAGACATTTGGCCTGAGCGCTGCTCTGGTTGGCCTCTCAGGGCAGGAGAAGAGACTCCGTGCTCATTCATGCGTTGGTTCCTGCTGAGACTTCTAATAGGAGGGTTAACTGTCTGGTAATTTGTGTGCCAGGGAAATTTGGGCAAGAGTCAATCTGGCAAATGGACTGAGCCTATAAAGCCACTTTGAATAAGCTAATGAGTAATCATCACGGGGAACTTTGCCTCCGGTAATCTACTTCCCATTTTGAGCCAGTTACCCAGGGTGTAATGATATTTGTTTTCTGTTTTTAATCTTGTGCATCATCTTTTAATAGAATTTCTATTCGAATTTATCTGAACAGTATGGAGAAAATCCATATATTTTCAAACATTTTATTCATATTTAGAAGACATAATTTTTAGCCCAGAAATAGGAAAGAGCTTTTAATTTAAGCAGAGGCTTTAAAAGTAAGAAGCCAAAATAATAACTAGGAAATTAAGAGGAGGAGCAATTATTTTCACCAGTAAAAACACTAAAAATAGGTTTATGTGTTAGATACAATTTCTTCTAGGTGGCAGCTCAGTATAATTAGGTGAGTTGCATGGCAATAGATGCCTCAGACAAGATTCTTAGTTTTGGGCAGGTGAAGCCAATGGTCAGTGAGTTAGGCAGAAAGGGCATTTACTGACTGGCTTACAGAAACATAAGTTGGCTTATAACATGGCTCAGCATGGCTGGCAAAACCTAGGGGACCAGCTCTTACCAGCGAGTGTCACAGACAAGTGCTCTCTACACAGCTAGCCTGCAGCAGGTGATGCTTCTGATGAGAGGTGGATGCTGCAGCTTGCCCCTCGCCCCACTGGTGCCAGACAGCACACTGCCATTGCTGCTCTGGTTCCTGAGTCCTGGGTGGTGCCTCCCCCGGGCCCTACTTCATTGCCTCATTCATTTCCTATTTGAAGCCTAAGGTGCATGTGATTGGTCAAGCGTAAGCTACACGGAAGACCAAGAAAACAACCATTGGACATGTTTAGCTTCTATAGGGGAGAAGCGTAAGGTGGAGAATTCTCTTAATATAGGAAGGAATTGGCAGTATTAGACAACTCAAGAAATGGCAAATGGGTTAGAAATGAACAAATTATTTGCTTTGTTTACTTGATTCCATATGCCTTTTTTTCATATTATAAACACTTGTACTTTATTCTGCCATTTACTTTCAGTGCTCTCTCATTATATAATGGTTACCCTATCGTATATATAAATATATTTTAATTTTAAATTGCTCTCTAGATTTTCATTCAATAACAACATGGTTGAGAATCATCTTTACTAATATTTGGGGGAAGAGTACTTAGGACATTTTGCACATGAATGATTAGCTCATTCCTGAGTCTTTTTTGTATAATTCATTGTTACATTTCAAAATGCATTTTGATTCCCCAGGAGCATTGCAGAGCAGTTATCAACAGGGATCTGGAGACTGAGATCTGTGGCTATGAGCAGAGATTTTCAGGAGAGGGCAGTTTGCCTGATTCATGTAAATAGAAATGAGTCAAAGCCCTGCTTCCAGGGCTTGCCTTCCCACTCTTGAAACTCTAAATTCAGAGGAAGGGGCAGATGAGAACTGCAGAGCCCAAACACTGAGTGGTAGCTATAGCCCTTTTGAGATTTAAAAAAAAAAAAAGAAAGTGAAAAAGATCTTTTAACATGTTATTGTTACATGTTTGTTTACCAGGATTTAGCAGGTGGGTTGGAGTAACCAGGTGGAGAAGAGGTCAGGGATGCAAAGAATGTTAAAAGATTTGGGAGGTTGGGGAAGCAATAAGGAAACATAGTTAGATGTCATAAGAGTACTTGGTGGTGTGACAAATATGTACTCTGTTTTCTCATTTTATAAATGACCATAATTGCTTTCTTTTCTGTTTTCCACTTTGAATTAGAACTAATTGCCTTTACATTGCTGCTATGCTCCCACCTACATAGTTTTCCCTTTCATTCTGTAAAAACATGTGTTTGGTGCCTCCTCATTCATGGCTCCCAATCTGGATGCTATTCTTGGAGCAACCACCCACTTTCTCACTAGCCGTGAAGCCACGTTAGTTTCTCCAAGCTCTTCCACACGATCCACTGCTTTTCGCAAAAAGGTTTGGTGAAACTGCTCCATGCAAAATTCCCCTCAACCCCTACTTGAAAGGGGTCAGGAGTAGATATAAATTGGACAATGATATTAATATAACAAAGTCAGCTGGAATTCAGTAATTCATGTATACTTGTGGTTTCTTTTTAACTTAGTATATAGTCCTGCAATCTGATCATCTCTCTAAAAATTTTGTAAGGCCCTAGAATCAAATGGAGTTTATGCAATTTTGTAGCCTTAGTATTTCCAGTGTGGTTCTTTGTACACAGCAGCAGCTCATTAGATATTTTTTTCTCCAGAGGTTATTTAAAACATTGCTGTGACAGTGTATGAACAAACTAATACTCAGATCACTCAAGTTTGAATAAGTGCGCACTTGTTGCTAATATGCTGACCTGAACAATCCTTACAAATTTGTT